TTTTCTCCAATAAAATAAACAGCTGAGACATTTAATCAATTTTGACTATTATGGGGCACATAAAGTCAAATTCCCATAAAAATGTAGTTGCAGTTTTTTATTTGAATTTAAATGTGAAATTAATGGCATATATGACATTGTTGCTAAGTAATAAATGAATATTTTCACCTTTCATAATAAAAACTGTTATGTTATATGCAAATTTAAATGTAATGGCATAGATGATGGGATGGCTAAGTGTTAAATAAACTAGTAATTTTGAGATCATAATTTTCACGTTAACATTATTGATTGTATTAATTTCCAATTGAATATGGTCATTTTGCTGTGAGAATATGGCTAGTGTTACCTTTAGAAACATTTACATTAGTTTAGTTTATATAAGAAGATTTGTGCTAATTTTAAAGCAACCATTATCTTATGCCCATTTGTTTTCCTATCTAAGTAGCATAGTTGCAGCAAAATATTATATGGATTTACTTCAATAGACAGAACTTTTAGTTGTTTGTATAATCTTATGTTAATATATACTTAAATATATTTTTTTTCCAAATTTGATGGCAATATGCAATTGCTTGCAGTAAAAGCAGCATTGACACCTAATTCAAGAAATAAAAAAAAATGAAAATCAATTGCTATTGTTGGTTTAAAAATTAATTATTTGATTGACTTGAACTTATAATGATATTGAATCATATAATGAAAAGGCTATGAAGAAGGGAAAAAATAATATTAACAACCGGCCCAAGCTTTCATCACGTGAGAGCCTTTTTGCGAGCTTGATGAAAAGGGTAAGGATGAATTTAATTTTTTTATAGATATTTGCTACATTAACTTTTAATTCTTACATATTTAATTTTATGAAAGATGAGAATGTATAATACAAAAACCTTTTTATTTTGAGAAAATAAATTGCTGTTGCCAAATTATGAATTTATATTTAAAAACCTAGTTTAGTGTCATTTGGTGGGTTAGGGTTGAACAAGCCATGTTGAAGTGTGAGTTTGCGGAGGTAGAGGAGAATATCATAGCTCGATATCGTGGTGGGTTAAGATCATCTATTAGCAATGTGATGCAATTACAGTCCTATTAGAACTTACAAGATTTCAAAAATTTAATCTTGAAGTTTGGGAAGCAATACAACAGTGTTAGATCTATTCTACTCTTCAAACAGTATTCGACTATGGGGTTTAGCAACAATAACATACCGATCGGAGTGTCAAGATCAGCCTCTCATGAGATGCTAGCATAGAATAAATAAAGATTGATTTGGCCGGCTTCCCTAAGTCTTTCCTAGCCATGAAATGCTTTGTGTGAATCTAATTAGTCAAATAGGAGAGATCCCTTTGGCTAAGCAGGTAACAATAAAAGAAGTGGACAATCACATAAAGAATAGAAGAAAATGAGGATGTTAAGGAATATCATTTTCCTGATGATGAGGGAATGATGTTAGTAGTGTGATAGATTCTTTAGATGGTGAGCTCAAGAGAGAGCAATACTGGCTTTGCATAATTTCTTTTATACATGTTCTAACTTGAACAAAAATGTGTGTAGTATTATCATTAACGATGGCATTTGTAAAAATGTAGCGTCTATCCAAATGATGGACAAATTGAGTCTTATCATGTTGAACTATTTTGGTTGAAGAAAGAAAATGAGATCAGTGTTGACAGGATATGCCTAATAGATTTCTCTATTAAAAATAAATTTTAGGAACAAGTTTGGTGTGACGTGGTAAATATAAATGCTTGTAATATCTTATTGGGTCACTATCCTGGAAGTACAATCGTTGTTCACGTTTTTATAGTTATAAGGACACATTCCTTTATCAAATATGATAAACACATCGTACTCTTACCTTGAAAGGAGTCCAAGGTAACGGGCATTCACATAGAGTCAGACCACAGTGTCATGCGTTACTTTTTTGTAGGCCTTAAGAGAAGCACCTTTAAAATTGGCATTATTGGTCTTAGAAGACTGTAAGTTCAATGAGCCAATACTAGATATAGTGTTGCTCCTGTTAAAGGAGTTTTTATTAAAGATAAATTTTAGGAACAAGTATGGTGTGTCTTGGTATATAAAAATACCCGTAATATCTTATTGGGTTATCCCTAGTAATACGACCGTTATTCGCGTTTTTACAGTTATAAGCACACATATTCCTTCATAAAAAAATATGAGAAACACATCGTACTCTTACCTTGAAAGGAGACCAAGGTAATTGGCATTCACATAGAATCAGACCATAATGTCACACATTACTTTTTTGTAGACCTTAAGAGAAGCACCATTAAAATTGGCATTATTGGTCTTAGAAGGTTGTAATTTCAACGAGGCAATACTAGATGTAGTGTTGCTCCTATTAAAGGAGTTTCAAGATGTCCTAGTCAACATTCTACCTTTTGGGTTGCCACCACTAAGAGTGATCTAGCATGCTATAGATTTCATCCTAGGATCAGTTTTCCTAAACTGATTTGCCTAAAGAATGTGACGAATAGAGTATGAGTTAAAGAAGTGTGTTACATATTTGATGCTTAGAGGCTTGGTTTGTGTGAATTTTTTCATTGTGATTTTTCTTAAGAAAGATTGCTCTTGGTGATTGTGCATTAATAGTACAATTTTGAACAAAATCACAAGTGCTAATTCCCTATTTCATGACTGGATGATTTATTTGATCAATTGCATGGAACCATCTTCTTCTCTAAGATTGATTTGATAGTGATAACCACCATATTAGGATGAGACCAGAAGATGAGTGGAAGATAGCTTTCAAGGCTCTAGATAGATTCTACAATTAGACAATCATACCCTTTGACTTGTGCAATGCTCTGAGCACCTTCATGTGGATGACGAGCTACATTTTCGAGCATTTATAAAAAAATATGTAGTTGCATATTTTGATAATATCTTGATATACAATCATATTGTAAAGAATTACATACAACACTTACTAGATATTCTTTAGGTTTTTTGGGCAGCCAAATTATATGGGCATCCGAAGAAATGTCAGTTTTTGACATCCTAGAAGTGCTTTCTTGGATCTATTGCATCAACAACTATCATTGAGTTGGACTATGTTAAGATTGAGGTTATTGTGAATTGGCCCGGTTCATAATCATTCACTCATGCACATCAATTTCATGGATTTATTTTCTTATTGGAGATCTATTAGAAATTTATCTCTATAGCAATGCCCTTACGGAGCTATTTAAGTCAAACAAATTCACTTGGTCAGATGAAGCACAATTTAGTTTTGATGCTTTAAAGAAACGTGTTACTCAGGCCCCTGTCTTTGCTCTTCGAGCTTTTTATCAGGTTTTCGAGGTCAAACGTAACGCCTCTATTGTGGGAATTGGAATTGTGCTAAGTCAAGAAAAACACACTTTTACCTTCTTCATTGAGAAGTTGAATGATTCCAGTCAAAAGTACCCTACCTACAATAATGAATTTTATGTCATTGTGATAGCTCATAATTACTTGATTCACTATCTATTGGTAAGTGAGTTCACTTTTTATATTGATCATGAGGTCTTGAGGTTGTTGAACAGTCAGAACAAACTAAAGGGTAGATACGACTCCTGGATAGATTTTTTTTTATTCTATTTTGTGCTTATACACAATTTTGGGGGTTAAAATAAGTTAGATGATGCATGGAACCGCCATAAATTATTAATCACAATTATGTATTTATAGGTAGTTGGCTTGAAGTATTGAAACATGCATATGCTATTGACAGTTATTTGGGACATTTAGGTTCATTGTTAGGACAAATCGTATGAACAGTTCGATATAGTAGCTGTCTATTTATTCTATTAGAATGTACTATACATTCTTAAGAGTTTTCTCATGAAAAAGCATATTGTAGGCAAAACACAATTGAGGGATGGCATAATATTTTGGCAGGGACAAGATTATTTTATTAATAAAGGAGAATCTTTATCTGCTATGATTGGTAGAAGTTGTAGAGATGAAGGTTGGGCCGTGTAGAGTATGTCATTTGGCTAAGATCCGAGGGTAGAATATGAGCCTCAATATATTTCGAGTATTCTAGAGTTATCTTAGGTAGACGTTAATATTGATTTTGTTGTGGGCTTGCCACGGATGTAGTGAGGTAAGGACTCTTTTTAAGGTGGTTGTAGACCGTTTCTCTAAGATGACGACACACTTTGTAACTTGTCACAAGATGATGGATGTTTCACATATCGCAAACTCGTACTTTAGGGAGAGTTTGTGTTTATGAAGTGCCTAAGACCATCACTTTAGATAGAGATGTAAAGTTTCCATGCATTATAGGTCGACTTCTACCATGGAGGGATTGACTCACTATGAATGAACATTTCTCTGGTCTTTTTTTGTGATTGTTTAACCTAAACAATATGGTAACAAATGAATGTCTTCTTATGCATAATTATGTGATGGGGCTGTTTGGCGTTTGTGCAATTCACTCGTGGTCAACTAATGGGAATTATATGGTTGTTAATTTTTATGCCTTGAAAAATGCCGAAAAAATGTGCAAACCTCTCAAATAGGCAGGGTTGTAATTTCATGCAATTTAAAAGGCAACTTGGCTTGGCAGTGTCGATTAGTATTTTTGCAATTATGGTATTTTACGAAGTAGTGTGTGCTTTGTATTTAAAAATAGGAAGTGCATAGAAAATCATTTTTTTCAAATTTAAGAAGCATTTAACCTTCTTATGTTGTTCATGTGTAAAGGATGCAATATTTGACACTCGTTTGATTATTGAAATCCAATTATGCGGACGTTCTTTCATTTGACTGTGCAAGATAATGATGTTTTGTTGCCTTGGTGGCCCTTTGGTTAGTTGTATAATTTTTGGCTGCTGATGCTACTTCGGATAAAAACAAGAATATGTTAGCTTGTCACTGAATGCAGCTGAATCAGAGGCTTCCATTCTATGATTTATGCATCACTATTTTGTTTTGGAGAATCTAAAATTTGACATTAAGTTTCATTTGGGTTCATATTCTCCCTCTGGCAGCCTTATGTTGATTTGGCTACTTGTTATGCGACGGGAAAATTTTCAGATCTAGAAGCATTTATTCAGACTAATATGGAGAAATTTAAATCTGTGAGTTATTCGTTAACTTTCATTCTTTTTTTTTTTAATTTACTTTCATTATTTATTCAGACTAATATGGAGAAATTTAAATCTGTGAGCGCCCATTCGTTAACTTTCATTCTATATATATATATATATATGTGTGTGTGTGTGTGTGTGTGTGTGTGTGTGTGTGTGTGTACTTTCATTCTTTATTTCTTTCTTAGAACATTAGCAAAATTACTGTATATTTTATTAATTTTTATAATCCTTTCAAATAGGTGTAAGAAGTGTTAAGAGGATTTAAACATATTTAGGTAGACATCTCAAGTGAAATGGTAGAATGACAGGAAAGTTTTAGAAATCAATTAGCGTGGGGATTATTGAATAAAGATTAAATGCATGATACTAAATTAATGGGTAATATTTTCATTTAATGTTTTCATTGATATATATGTGTGATAAGTTCAAGTTTGTTGGATCTCTCATATAAATTACATGGGCATAGATGGGGATAACTTTTAGAATTAAAATTGGTTAGTTAAAATAAAATAATTTTGGCGTAGTGATGCATTCAACAATTATCAAAGAAAATTTTATTTTATCTTTTTAATAAATTGCTGTTAGGGTGTCTATGTTAGATGGCTCTGAGTCAGTCAATAAATAAGTCTCAAATGTTCAATTGAGTGACAAAAATGAGTTAACATTTATGTGGTAAAGCTAAGTAATAAATGATTGATGTAGTACAATTTCAAGTGTAAGTCAAGTGTAATTCAATTTATAGTGTGGCTGTTCTTATTTGCCATTTAGTTATTATTTTAATTTAAATGTCATTGGTTATTTAATACTATATGGTATTTTGATATTTGTTTAGTGTTTGTTTTTTCCATTATAGATATGGCCTATGTCTGTATGTAATGTCCAACTTCTTTTAAGTTATTGAAGCTTAAATAAAGAAGAATTTTTCTTTTATCATACATTGCGGGCATTTATTCTCCCTTTTATGGTTTAGTCTTCCTTCCTTACCACTTGATTTATCTCTTCTTTTTAAGCGTTCATTCAACTTGTCTTCTAAATCCTTAGTTTTGTGTCATCAAACTGATATTAAAGCCAAAGTTCTTAAGTTTAAAATAAAAATCTGCTATAATATTGTCATGCTTTTATGTTTCCCAGCTAGTCTCTTTACTTCTCTTCATAGTAAAATCCTATGAAAAACTACCTCATGTTAATTTATAGATTTCTCTTCTTTATTTTTCCCTTGACAACTCTGACTTCATATCCATTCACAAGGTGCACGTGCTGTACTTGGATTCTTACTAATCGCATATTACATTCTTGTTTTCACTTTCTCGCATATACGTCTCTACAATTGATGTGTGACCCTTTTTTGCAGCACATCACTAACAGTCCCTCCAAGAACCACTGCAAATCTTTACAAAATTGCAGTCATCCGTTTTGTTTGCTTCACCCACTTGTACTTTGCATCACACGCATGATTGTTGATTTGTGCATTCTCATTTGCTCATCTACATCTCTTTCCTAACCTCACCTTTCTAACAACTTCTAACTTTCGCCCATAATGCTTACTCCCTCTCAGTTGTTATTAAGCTTTAATTCTATCCAGTAGGATTAAATAACCCAATCCAGTTAGATTTGAACCTAACACAAATAGGTCATCATAAACACCAATGAAAAAAACTTTTGACATCAATCAACCAATGCATTAAACAAGTCATATTAATCAATAAATACACATGGTCTGTTTAGAGTGGTGATAATATTCTCGAGGATGGGAAATATGACAAGTCTTTTTAGTGCAGGGTGATTTGTGCTTATGTTTTCATAATATAAATAAAATGACGCAATTTATGTAAATTAGGAAGGGAATTTAGTATTTTTAGATTGTAGATTAGTAAATATGCTAATATCTTACTTTAGTTAAATTTAAAGCAGTTAGTGCGAGTATTATTATTCAAGGATGATGTATTGATTGAATAAATCCAAAGAAATTTGACCACATGAAGTCAAGAAATGTAATTTTATCATATGATGTTAATTTTCAAATTTTCCAAATTTAAACGAAGTTAAGAACATGAGCAAACTAATAACAAGATATGTAAAATAAATTAAATCTATGAAAGAAGTTATCAAAATAAAAAAATCAGGCCTCTCTTCGCTGCAAGGGGATGAACTCCGTAGAATTAGATAGTCATATTTGTTCTTCACTCAGAAATTTCACGTTCATCTTTTCACATAGAAGATTGAAAGCTTAAAGAGAATTTTTCTTTAGTCAAAGTTAATTTGTATTATCTATTTATGGACTCATCTCTATTCTAGTAAATCCAGTTAGACACAAGAGCAACCTAATTTAGTTTCAAGCAATCATTGAATTCGTTTTAAATTACTTGCCTACTGAACAATTTTTGTTCGTGAAGTAGCAAAAAAACCCTTGGGAGGACTAACAATGCCCGTAGGTAGTGGCATTAGTAATTGTATCAATGACCAGACGAAAGTAGCACTTGTAATCAATAAAAGAATAGCAATGTGCATAATGATTATGTGAGTAGCAAATGGTGGAATGGGAATGTTTGTTTCTCATCAATTTGCCTTGCATGAAAAAGTATAAGTTTTGACGAATTTAATATATTGCATTAATTTATGTCTTGAACTCGAGAATCACATGCCTAGGTGGACACAAATTGTGTCACGCACGAATTCAGTGGCTAGAAAACATGACTCGTACTAAGCACAACGGGAAATACCGACGACGCTATAGACAGTGTCGTAGGAAGCGAGATAGGTGGCTTGATGTAAGTCATCTCATCGCAAAGTGTGCAAGTATCTATCCTCATGCATACAGTGAAGTATGTGGGGAAGATACTTGCAGGTGCAGGTGCATGTGCTTAAAGAGTTGTTGCAAGGGTGCTCAAAGAGACATCCAAACATGCAAAATGCTAAAGAAAAGCATACAGTGTAGACACAAAATCGCATGCAATGAAATATGTATCATAGAACAAAGTAAAAAATGATTTGTCATACACATGAAGGAGCATGCAATAGGCAAACACCACAATCAATATCATGCAAAGATGTAAAAATGCACACAAGTATGCACCTGTCAAGCGAAGTGGGCCAAAGATGGTCAATCGAATCAGAGTAATCGGTCGATCTGGTCGTGACAACCAATCGAATCGAAGAGATGAGTCGATTGAATCAGGGCGGCCGATCAAACCTAATTGATTGGGCGATCAGACCGGGGCAGCTGATTGAACCCAAGTGATCAGACGATCTGACCGGAGCGGCCGATCGAACTCGTGTGAATGGGCGATCTAACCGGATGGTCAATCGAACCCAAGTGAATCAGTGATCTGATTGGGGCGGTCGATTGTACCCAAAGGATAAGGTGATCGAGTCGTGGCAGCCGATTAAATCCAAATGAGAGGGTAATCGAGCCGATGAGGCTGATCAAACCTAAAGTGATCAATCGATCGTGCTGTCCCGACCAATTGAACCGAAGAGGTGATTGGTCGATCGAGTCAAAAGTGATTGGTCGATCAAGCATGGACGGCGATCAAATTGAAAGTGATCACACGATCAACATATAATATGCAAGACACTATGAATGAGCATGCAAAAAATGTTACTCAAATGCATTCGACGACACGTCGAACTCATCCTAGCGACCTTGCATAGGATCTAGAGTTAAATTTGATAGAGAGGTATATCAACGCGATATTACGCGTGTCAACATAACGCCCATCTCCATTTGCCTGACATAAAGCGGAGGGTGTCTCATGAGAACAACTCAACGACCGAGAGGGCGAAAGACCAAAGGGTTTGCTTCGCCCGCTCATCCGATTGGCTTCAAATGACCATCCAAATGAAGTCGTCGGAACAAACGGTGAGATTAGTACAACCTCGACTTTCGAATTTAGGGCTAAGGTTATGGAAAATTGCTCGGATTCGTCTGGGAAAGTTCACGAAAGTTCGCCTAACTCATCGGTTTCCTCTAACACACAATCCTAGCCCTAAAATCTCTATCAACCAGACCTAGAAGGCTTGCTAGGAATGAAAGTGTGAGAGTTTTAAAGAGATCTCACCGTAGCAATAGTTGCGTTCGCGTTCTCTCTGTCTGTCCAAGCAGTCGGCGCCCGAATCACGCACCAAAGCATCTCATAAAACATGCATGAAACGATGGAACAAGCGAGGGCAGAAGGTATGCACGTATCTTTGATAAACAATTATTGCATGCAAGAATATGACTAATACATACCTTTGCGATGGTTTCCCGAAAATGGGAAGCGTCGGCGGGAAGCCTCGCCGAGAGAGGGAACGTCGGTCGGAAAGGGCATGTCGATGTTTTTACAAGATCGGAGATGGGTTGCGCGAGCATTAGCAGGTCGACCTATGGTATCACCTGAAAGGGAGGAGAGCAGGCGGGCGAAGGTGTCGCTGGTGAGCGAGGTTGTCAGCAACGTTTTCTTTTTCTTATTTCAGCCGCAAATCTCGTTGTTCATCATCCTCCATTTTCCTTGTGAAGATGAGTCGTCGTCAGTGGCAAAGCAAGCTGCATTGAAGAGCTCATGCCGTAGGCGAAGTTGCTAAGGAGAGGGATGGCCGAGCAACTTTGTGAGAGAAGGGGGTCGCACCAGTCTTCTTTGTGATAAAGGGAAGCCGCTGTAGGAGATAGTCCGCCGACAATAGAGCAAGGAGGCGTCGGCGTGAGTGGATGGACGTCGAAGCTTTCGTTCGTGAGAGGATTTTGGGCCTACGGGCGAACATCACCAGCAAGCGAAATCCGTCGGCGAGGAACATGGTCACTGGCGAATGAGAGGCCGGCGAGGTGTCACTGGCAAGATGTCTCGTGGGGGCCGTGCGTCGGTCGAGACGATCAGGGCAAGAAACAGGGATCTACTTTGTTGTGCATCGATTTGCACGTTTCTCGCTCGTGCACAAAACCCAGCAATATAGGTGTCGTCCCTAGGTAAAATCAATGTTTCAAATGCGCTCACGGGGTCTGTTTCGTTATTAGGGGTCATATGGACGAATTGATCGAGAATCGAGTCAATTTGAATATGATTTGCGCGCGACGTGCAAATGAGGTTTGAGAGTACTAAATTAACTCTTAACATTTGAAACAGCTGTGAACCACAAAAGTATCTTAGTTGTGCACATTCAAAATCATCTTGTAAGAATCATATTTTTAAGCTAGCATATGTGTAAGAGTACTAACATCAATGTTCCTATCGCCCTCTTTCTTCTAAAGGTCATCGGTCCATACTTGTGTGGCAATTGATTAGTTCTCTTAATTGTCGAAAACCATGCCACTAATCGAAATCAAAGCTTACTACATGCTTCAATTTTTTAGGGAGCACATAATTTATCAGTTTTGCATCATATATCGGATCATATCTGATATTGGTACCGCTTTCAAGAGCACCAAAATGTCCCCCATTGTCAGTGTGTTATGTTAAGAGTTTTGGGTTTAAGGTTTTATGCTTTAGGGTTTAGGTTTTAGTGTCTTTGGGCGCATGGTCTAGGGTTTATTGTTTAGAGTTTTGGGGTTAGGGTTTAGGGTTTGATTTTAGTATTTAAGGTTTAATTTGTTCATATCTTAAAGCAAATCTCCCTTTTTAAAGAAGATATTTCTGACATTAATTGCTATATTGTTTGGCACTCTCAATCTTGAAAAAACGTGGTCTCTCATTGGGAATCCCTCTATATATGGCTATTATCTAACTCGATGGTTTAGAGGTTCCCATCATTGAAGCTAGGGCCACTGCTATGTTTGTTTAAGCTCACACAAGAAGCCTCAATCTGCTAAACTATCTACGTGTCATATTTTGGAGAACAACTTTGACTAGCCAAATTTAATTCTAGATAGTTGTTAAATTAAAATTAAACAAGGCAAGCCAGAGGCATGACAATATCCCAGTAACTGCAAAAGGAACTTTAATAATTGGGAAAACCAATACTCATTACCAGTTATCCACATAAATAGTAGCACCCACAATAAAGCCATTGGAGTAGCTTGCGAATGAATAGACAAGGTTGTTCCACATCATTTCTATTACTATTGTTTGGGATGATGTTGTTCTCACTACTCATTTTGCCCTCATTAGTATGGCTTTTCCTCTTGGCCCCTATTCTCTAACATAGATTTTTTATATCTTTCTTATTCATGATAAAATTTTCATTTGTCAGTGCATTTTTGTTAGATATAAATTATGGAAAAGAAGCAAACCACACAGTTTTCAGGGGCATGCCATAGGTGTGTCTACGTCCAACTCGAGTTTAACATGGAGCCCTAAGGTTTTTTGATGATTTTTAGCTTCCTAGGTTTCAATTTTCAGGATTAATATATCAAGTGGGTTCACTTGTTTTTTATTAAGTCAATTATTAGCAGCTTATATATTGTTTGTTATTTAAAATTAGTGTTGTATTTTTATATTTGTAGTGGAATATTTTTTTGATTTTTTAATATTAATTTTTCTTGTAAATAATGCACCATAGTTTTTTCATTTTGTTGCTGAATCTGGAATAAAGTTTTATATTATGTCATCTCAATGGGGATTGATTGCCCCTGTAGAGTTTCTTTTATACTTTCTTTCTCTCCATCTCATGCTAATCTTCTTGAGCTCCATTTGTTTGGCCGATTCTTCTTTCTATAGTCATACAATAATAAAAGAATCCTCCTTGATTTTCATTCCCGTTGTTTGTGATAATATGATCGTAAATATACATGTGATTTGCGTATGCACAATTGATAGCTGGGGATGTATCAATAAAATAAATATGTAGAATAACTGTGGGTAGGTTATGAAGAAAGAGTACTGAGCCTAAGTTAATTTGTTTAAAATATGTGTAAATAGACTTGCATGAAATAGACTCAACCCAAATGTGGCAGAGAATAAAAAATAAATGTGGGAGTAAGATTAATGAAGCCTACCTCTTGGGATAGGCTAAGAATGAGGATGATGTCATGTGATGAATTGTAAGTTGAATTATATGGCATCATTCTTATGTCTTTATGTTTTCGAGCTGTGTTCTACTATTTTTATTTTTGCTTTCAGTTCTTCATGTTTAGAATTACTTCCTTTTAGCTTGGCTATGTTTTGTATGGCCATATGAATGTGTTTGTTTCTGAAGGAGACAATATTAGCATTTTGAAGGGACACCTTGTTCTTGTACTTTCTCTTTCAGGACAATAATCTTGGATTGGTTAAGCAAGTTCTTTCTTCTTTGTACAAGCGCAATATCCAGAGGTTGACTCAAACTTACTTGACTTTGTCGCTTCAAGATATAGCCAACGCTGTTCACTTAAACAGCTCGAAAGAAGCTGAATTGCGAGTACTTCAGATGGTAATTCTCCGTGTAATATTTTTCTGAAGTCGTTTTTAAGTTTCGAGGATGCTGTTCTAAAGTTGTAATTATTTTCTTTAATTATAGATTCAAGATGGAGATATTTTTGCGACAATAAACCAGAAAGACGGTATGGTCAGTTTTCATGAGGATCCAGAACAATACAAGACTTGTGAGATGATTGATCAAATTGATTCATCAATTCAAAGGTAATGAAACAGCTTCTTCTTCATCCATGTGTTATGGGACAATCAGATAAGATTACATTTCTGCAAATTAGCCATTGCACATGCAAATTACGCTCTGATCAAATAAACATTACAATTCAAATGTCAGTCGCATATTTGTCGTTAAGTGTAAAATAGCATGTTCTAGCAAGTAAGACTGCTAGGTCTATTTGGTGCAGCTACTTCTATTTGAAAAAGCAGTTGTAAAGTTGTTGCAGAATAAGTTGTTTTTCAAGAAGTTGTGTTGGCTATTACAATTTTTTTTTATTTTTAAGAACTTGGACCGCAACTTTTTGGTAGCCACTGCACGTAGCTTTTCCACCACAGCTTTTTGAGAACACAAGCAAAATGCAGTTTTATCAAATACCACAGTCATGCGGTCCATTGCTTTGTAAATGTATATCTGTGTCCTTGTTCATATTTAAAAGAATGCATTCTTCTTGCATTATTTTTGTCTTACTTTTCATAGCTTAGTTTCAATCAATTTTGTAGTAAAACCAAATTGGTGATTACGTTGAACAATTCTTGATAAACTCAGCACATTAATCATTTCTGTTTTGAACTGCACCTAGCACACAATGTGGGGTTAACATCCATTAAGGTGGCTTTACTTGTGCTTTCAGATTGATGGCCTTGTCAAAGAAGCTGACTGCAATAGATGAGCACATTTCTTGCGATCCGGCCTACGTTTCAAAGGTAACATCTCTGATTATTCAGTACCATGATTTGTATCTTCTGCTTAGGATAGATCTTCTGCTACTGAAGTTTGTGTTATTTCTCCAGATTGGGAGAGAAAGACCGAGATTTGACTTCGATGACTTCGATTCTGTTCCGCATAAATTCCTGTGAGGATGAAGGAGCCTCCCCTCATTGAGTATGATTCCTTCATTGCCAGAATCTTGATAATTTTATTTCTTTTCTTATCCGGTACTGCTGTGCATTTTATTGCTTTGATTCAGTTTTTCTGTTAGCTCTGAGAATGCTAGCTCCTCTTTTTTGTATGTTTATCTGAGGTTCATCTTATTTGAGTAAAATGATGGATGGTAGTAATTTTTAGTGCCATCATGACATATTAGAGTTAAGGATTGATGTTCTGCGAAGTTACTTCTGTAACTTTGCAGCACTTAACAGCCTTAGTGATGTAACACTTGATTCCATTATGATCTGCTGCTTGGCTTTCAGACCGTTGGTAACACTTTTTTTTTTTTTTTTTATTTATAATTACTTATAGAGCACCCAAAACATTGATATTTACAAAACAAGCATCGAAGTCATTGTTTGAAGTACCGAATAGATGCATTTATGTGTGCCGCGGTTAAATCATTAAGAGTTTGATAAAAATGAAGAATATGGGTTGGGGTTTTATCTTGAATTTTGATATTCTAAGTGAGAATTTGAAAAAGGGATGGAAACGAGTGCTTGATTTATAAATAGCAATGTTTGGGGTGCTTTGTATGTAATTGCTCCTTTTTTTTTTTTTTGGGCTATTGTGTGAGTTACTTTCTGACGTTTGGAGAATCAGATATGTTAGAATGTGATCGATTTTGGAAAGAAAGATGCAATTTTGTCTACATATATATATATATGCTGCTCGTTGTGATTCTTTGTTAGTGCAGCCTAGCGCAAGTCCCTTGGGGTCACTGGTTTGATCCCGACCCGCCTGAGTGCATATGAGTGCATCTGATTTTCAGTGCAGGATCGAGTGATTAGGCGCATATTCACACAACTCAAATCTTTAATATCACCAAATTGATATGTACATTTTTATTCATAGTTTTAAGAGCATCAAAATGTCATGCAAGTAAATGAGAGTGTAGGTTTGTGATATGTAAAAAAAATATAAGAACGGTGTGCTATGCATCTAAACATCCCTTTAAAAATATGAATAGCAATAGCTACATGTTTTGTGCACATGAATTGTGTACTTCTACTCGTCATATGATAAGGGCATTTATGTACATAACATATAATTCTTATTTAATTACATTTCAAACCCTTAAATTTAATTTTTTTATATATGCTACCTTACCTCTTCATATTTAGGGTCCGTTTGAGCCAAGCTTATAAGTATGGGCGGCGTTTTAAAAACGCCGTCGTAACGTTTGGTTCGCATGTTTCGTCAGCTTATCCGAAACTGCGTTTGAGTTTTTACACTAAACGCGGGCCGCGGGTCGACTCCTGCGGCCGGCCTGCTGGCCGCGTTTCAAGATAAGCAGCTTCTCCTGAAACGCACAAGCTGCCCCAAACGGACCCTTAGTGTTTCACTTTCTAAAACTTATATTGAAGATATTTTTGATGTGATATGAAATATTAGTGTGGTATAAATATAAAAATTAAAGCTTGAGTGCTAGATATGTAAATATATAAAAATTGGGTGCTATTTATGGAGTTGCCCCTTAAAATATTACCATTATTTATTTTTTTCTAAAGTAATAAAACAAAAAAATCACCTTTTCATCCATATGTTTGTCACCAAAGTGATGTTTTTGGTGATAGGAAAACATAAGAATCAAGGTATTTATGTAAATTTACTTCTTCCATGAAAGTTTTTGAAACATTTGTTGCACTTAAATCCTTGATATTTCCTTGTACATGAAATGCATTGATTGATGTAACATGTTCTTTAGGTGCCCATATCTTTATACAAGGCGAGAGCCTTAGTTTTCTCGGCTCGCTGTCTCTCTTATACAAATGGCGGTCGCCCCTAATTTTACTCAGTAAACAACGTTCTAGCGAAAATATTAAACAACCCAGCATGAACAAGAAGAGAAATCCACGACTCAAAGTAAACCTTTAGGAAACATCCAAACTCCAATAATTCATTTTGAAGAGGTATTAGAGAAGGTCGGCATCCAAATGCATGCAACGTTAATGAGAGAATATCTTCCACCAAAACGAACTGAGGGGCTAAACCCGCAACAAAAACATGAGAACTCCATTCACTGAAGAGGAAAGATTTATGAAAACAATCGAGTTATCATGTCGCCTCTCGAAATCATCATAGCTCAATAACAAAGTATAGTGTACGTAAGGTAAACCACCATAAGTGGCAACAAGTGCAATATCTACAATTTTCAAGCCAAATGCAATGGTCTGTGTCTTGGACGGCAAACAAATAGAACTTTTTGTAACATTTTGCAAGAGGATGTATCAGAATGAAATGATACCAGAAACACTTCACCTACTTTTCTGCATTCTTAGCAATATTTTAGTCCCATATTGATTGCTAGTTTTATAATTAATACTTGGTATTTCATTTCATTTGGCTCACTTGCCTTGGAGTCTGATGAAAAGATATTGAAATTGTGGTGGGGACTTTGCATGACTTTGCTGTAAATAGATCCAATTATACGCCGAAAGAGCATAAAAATGACACAAATAATCGAGAAAATATACGACATAGTACTACACATTTCCTTCACATCAGTGTGGTGTGTTTGGACTCCTTGTCGAGGTCGTCAACAAGGAATCTATGTCGAGGAATTGAATCGCATCGGCGAGAGGCAAAATTCCAACCAAAAAGGGGGGAGAGAGAGAAATATGAGGGTTACCTTTCTCAAGGTTTGGATTTCTTGCCAGCGCCGAGCAAAGTCGTCATCGCCGAGGCTCGAGGGCATCGACAAGAGAGAAAATCAATGTAGAGGGAAGAAGATTGAGATTTTTTATCTTCGTGTTTGATTTCATATAGTTTTCCAGCTTATTAACGCCTAAAATTTCAGCTATAACATTTACTGACTGAAATTTTAGTCGTTAATCAACAAATTTTTTAAATGACTGAAATTTTAGTCGTTAATCAACAAATTTTAAGGGATATAAGCACTGACTAAAACATAAATCACATGAGAAAAAAATGTGAAAATTAATTACATATTTGCCCAAATGATAACTATTCATGTTTATGATGCTTCAGCTTCCACCATAATGATAATGATAAATTTTTATTGGAGAAATTCAATGATCTCATATTCGTCTTTTTTCTTTTTCTTTTTGTGCCTCTCATCAATAAAAGATTAAGAAAATTTACTCTGAGCAGATCATATGAATGCTAATTACTTCTAGTCTTTGATTTCAACAAATTTATGGTCAAATCAAGCACCTCAAAGTGATAAATTTAGTGACATCAAAATTGATCCACACCGGGTCACTAGAAGTGTAGTCAAAGATTTTGGTGCATCAATTTGAAGGCCAAACAATTTTAAAAACTAGCATGCTTTTATTTAAATCGAATTTCTAAAGTAGATGAGTCTAATGGACTAAAGATCTTTCAATTCTTATATAATTAATCACTTAAATGTTACAAAAAGTCTAAAAAAATATAAATAGATCAACCTCCTTCACTTAAGAGTTGGAGTTGAAGATAATAGGGTGAACTAGTTACTAAAACTTAACATTTGATGTCCTGACAGTTGTTGTCGGTCACCAAAGTTTGTTGTTAACAAAACAGAGTTAGTCACTGGCCGTCAAAATTCACTATCAGCTACCAGAGGTCGTCGTCAACAGCTAGTCACTATATGTCCCCAACTATGCCTTCGATAGCCCTACTACTATCAGTAAGTCTCCTACAACTACAAATATTGTAGCTAGTTGCATCGATTCCTTTAACTACAACTATGGTATCTCTAATATGGTTGTTATTTCCATCAACTTTGACATCCATAATCAACTATAGTTTTTCTTATAGATCATGGTTGTTATTGTCATAAATTATGACTTCTATAGTCAACTACAACTTTTATAGCCGACTTCGATAACCCAAATAAGATTTTTAATTATAGTCATATTACTATAGTTATAATCTCAACTATCTTTATACAATTATATCTATTCAGTTATTTACAATTTTAACATATTTTTGTGATCTTATCTTTTCTAATTTAGGTGAAAAGAATCTTTATACCCTTGATTGCATAGTGAATTACTTTAACTAGGCCAAGCTCCATGATTTTTTCTCTTTCAGGTTTTTCGTATAAAAAGTAATGTGTGTGTGTGTGTGTGCGTGTGCGGGCATGTGTGCGTGTGTGTAATCATCACTCTGCTTTTACGAATTTTCCAACATGCAACAGATATAATCATGATACAATAAATATATTTTCGTCGATTCATATACTATATATTAATTCAAGACTTAGCTTGAAAATATTTTGAATATAATTATAAATTAATATTTAGGATTATATTTTTAAACAAAATATTTTATTTTTAACCATCCAATCAACATCAAAAGAGTCAAAAAATTTGATTAATATTAAAATTATCATATTCATAGAACCCCAATCAATTTCATCAGTTCATTGATTCAAGTCCATTTCGTGCAAAAAAAAAATAATTTTGAACCCAACCAGACATGCCGAAGAACCGATTCATTGTCGAATCAATCCTCGGTACAATCAGAATTTTCAAAATAATTTTGAACCCAATTCTTATGGATTTACCTATTTCACACCTAAACTTTCATTTTTACACACGAAAATATATATTTAACTATTAAAATGTGATAAATATTTAATATATATATATGTAAAAGCCTGAAAAATAAATAAACATAAATTTTATTAAAATGAAACTTATTTCTTGGTGGCTTCCAACCTCAATTCTCACCACTTATTCATCACCCCGAACATCATCGTCCATGTTCCCCTCCTCATTTCATTATTTTTACCCACATGCATGCACACACACACGTACATACACGTAACACATACACACGCACACGTAACACGTACACACATTTAGCACGTGAGATTATGTTACACGCGTGCACGCACGCACGCGTAACACATACACAAGCACACGTAACACGTACACACACGTACACACATTTAGCACGTGAGATTATTTCCGGGATCCACACCAAACTGACTGCAATAATTCTTGTATATACTGACACGATCATTCATCTCACTGGTGTTCCCCCCATTGCACTCCAAGGCGCCATTAATGGCACGTATGGTTGCACCGAAGCCCTGACCGACAACACCATGCACGTTAGTCTTCCAGAACCAGAGAGCCGTCTTGAATGCAATGACGGCATCACTCGAGACGGTCTCCGGCGAGTTCAGCCCATCAAACCCGATATCTTGGCCCGCCGGGCCGTAGTTGTAGTTCCACGATATCTGTAGTGGGCCGCGTCCATAGTACTTCTTCCCCGCCGCGCACGGGTACTGAGGATAGTTCGTGTCGCAGTAGGAGCTAGACTTGTCTATCTCCTCTATGTAGCACAAGTCTTTGCAAAGAAAGTACACGTGCATGCAAAATTGCAAATATAATTAGTAATTTTGTAAGGATTTTTTTAAAAACATTCTTATATATTTGCCCATATGAAAATCATAAATTTGTATATTTATATTTATAAAAAAAAATAAATTAATGAATTAAATAGACATATCCAAATATTTGTAAACCAATAACTAAGCTTGGTGTAAGAAAGCGATTGTTCGCTTTTAAAGGTTTAGGCCCCTTTAGGGGCAGCTTATTGAGAGCGTCTCCCTGTTTGTTTAAAGCGTTCGCACCTGCGTAACGATCCTGCACTGCGTCCGCGTTCGTTAATTCATTTATGTCGTTCGACGTTGTCCGAGCCCCGCGTCCGTCGTTACCCATCCGTGTTGCCCTAGGAATTCCGGAGATGCCCTCAATCTGCCTTGCCTTCTCTCGCGCTGGTTTAGGGTTCTGGTTCGTCGCCCTTAGGGCTGTAAACGAGCCGAGCCTGAGCGAGCCCAGATCCGGCTCGTGTTCGGCTCGCCCGGCCCTGGGCCTGTGTCCGAAGTGG